AGCAGGAAGAGACTGAGCAGAACGAGCGACCAAAGGAGCGACCAGCGGAGAAGGAGGAGGAGGAAAAAGAAGAGGAGAAAGAGGAGGAGGAGTAGGAAGAGGAGAAGGGAGAAGGAGCTGGGAAAATGACGAGCACTGAAAAAGTGGCTTTTCCGGAGGATTAACCTGCGGAAAGAACACGACGACGACGACGACGACGATTCAAGTCCAAGACGTGCAAGAAGGCATTGCAATACACCCTCCCGCTCCAAATCCGTTTCCGTGGCCTCCTACAAGCATGTGTTGCACTGCGCGAAACGCGCCCATTGAAAAACGAACGCCCCGTGGGCCCGCAATTCAGGCCAGAGCTTCGCTGAACAAAACAAGCTTTTTGGAACACACGACACAAGACAAGGTCGGGTCATAAAGTTCGGGGGCGTGCCCAGCAACAGCCCCGCTTCGCAAAAGGAGCGGCCGCACGTCCGTGCAACTGCTTCACGATTGTAGACGCCTGGCCACTACCAAAATCTCAAACGAGAGCCCAATCTTCAAAAAGACCCGTCCTCCATCCGTTTAACTGTTACATCGTTTGGTACATGTGACAAGAAAGTATGAGGTAGGCCCCGGCGAAAGCCCCATGCTGAAACCGTACCAGCCTCGATCCTTGTAGTAGCTGCTGCAAGCTTTCAGAAACGAGCGTGCGCGGCGCTCATGCGATAGCCACATGCTGTAAACCACAGGCGCTCCATGGTTAATTGTGGGCAGCGTTGAGGCGAATGCCACATCTTAAAAACAGCGGTTCTGTCTATTTAACTGTTGGGAGCTTGAAAGTAAATGTGCGCGGCGCTGGGGCGACAGCCACATTTACAAAACCATCGGCCCTTCAGTCTTGTTGCCGCTGGAGTTGCTGAGCCTCGGAATCATAGCTCGTCAGGAAGTCTCAAGCGAAACGCCCAGAACGGCCTGACGACATGTTTAGCGGCGCGACGCAGGGGAACTGCTGATTAGGAACAGGGGTACGGGGCGAGTAGGAGCGAACGTCGCCTTGCGGGGACGTCTTGTCTGGCTCGGCGCTGCGCGGCCCAGGGCCGCCCGAGAGGCCCGCGGGGAGCCCCAGTATGCCGAGCGGCGCGGATGCCGCTGTAGCTCTGCGTACATGTCAAGGAGCAGGAGGAGGAGGAGGAGGAGGAGCAGAGGGAGGAGGAGAAGGAGGAGGAGGAGGAGAGGAGGAGGAGAGGAGGAGGATAAGGAGGAGGATAAGGAGGAGGAGGAGGAGCAGGAGGAGGAGGAGAAGGCAGAGCGGTCACCAATCCCTCTACGCCCGCCTCCACCTCTCCCCTGGCGGTGCTCTGCATTGCCTCACCCTGCCCTGCAGAAGCAGGCGGGGGCGAGGAGAGGGAGGAGGAGGAGGAGGAGGATAAGGAGGAGGAGGAGGAGGATAAGGAGGAGCAGGAGGAGGAGGATAAGGAGGAGGAGGAGGAGGAGGGGGCCTGCGCAGCCCCACCTCACCACATGATGTCCCAGCCATTTCTGCACTCGCCTGCCCTCCCCCTCTTTGCCGTCCCCCCATCTCCGTCCCTCGCCTTGCTCCCTCCTTCTGTGACATGGACACATGCCCCAAGCCACCTTTGCTGCATCTCATCCCCAATGCCCGTCCGAGCAAGATAGACCTCCACCGTGTAGGCTTGGTCAGCGCCGCCTGCCCGGGCGCCGGGTCCGGTCCGAGGCTGCCGCCGCTTCTGCTGCCTCGCAGGTGCTCGGCCGAAAGCACAGCCGAAGAACGACGGAATCAGGTCGGCGCCCAAGAGTGGCTCGCAGCTCGACCCGTGGGACGCAAGATGCTTCTGGGTGTCTTGCTCAAAGTGCTCGCCAGACAATGTATCTTTCACAGGGGCCCTACACAACTACGCCGTTGCAAAAAACAACACTGTAGCAGGCCACCTGAAGACGAATCCCCAGGCAGCGCGCCCGGCACCAGACAGCGCCACGGCACATCATCAAACGACAGGCCATGCCAGAACGATGCAATCGGTGAATCAGCAAGGTAAAGGCGCATCTTCAAGCCGACCAGCATGCTTGGAGATTTCACGGGCACCTGCTGAGAGGCTCTGTCAGCGACGCTGGCTACATCCAATGCGGCATCAGGCGAACGAACCACAGATCCATAAGATATGCACAAACATTAAAACTGTCGGAGATTCGCAAGGACTTGATCGGGTCGATTGCGAGCGCGAGGGGGAGGGGAAGGATGAAGAGGAGACGCAAGTGGAGACGAAGAGGAGCCCAATGAGCATGAGCAGCAGAAGACCGGAGGGGAAAAGGTTCAGCAGGAGGAACGGATGATGCGGAGGAGGGTGCGGGGGGAGGAGGAGAAGGAGGAGGAAGAGGAAGCTGAGGAGGAGGAGGACGGCGACGAGCAGGGTACCGAGAACTATGAGGTTGGGAAGGACGGCGTGGGGTAGGACCACGAACATACACACACACACACACACACACACACACACACACTTTTTGTCGGACGGTACTCCAGATTTCGTAATAAAGGGAGGGGGGTCTCATTTCGGCGGGGGTCTCTTCCAGGCTATCTTGGAGGGCCCTGTGGGGTCTGGGGACGATGCTTTGGAGGGTTCTCCCACGGGGGGGTCTGAAATGGCTTGTCTTGGAGGGTCCCTACCCCCTCCCTTTTATTAACGAAATCTGAAGTCTGGAGTAGGCAGAGGGACTGCCTCTTGCCATGTAGATTAGTGAGATCACACACCCACACACACACACACCCCTCCCTGGAGCAGGGAGCGTGCCAGGGGGAGGGAGGCGGAGGAGGAATGAGGAGAGTAGGGAGGGGGAGGAGGAGGCAGGAGGAGTAGAGGAGGAGGAGGAGGATGAAGGAGAGGAAGGTAGGAGGGAGGAAGGGAGGGATGAGGAGGAGAGGAGGAGGAGGAGAGGAGGAGGTAGGAGGGAGAGGATGAGAGGGAGGAGGGGAGGAGGGAGGAGGGAGGAGGGAGGAGGAGGAGGGAGGAGGGGGGCGGCGCCAGAGGAGCCGCGCTGAAGGGGTGACGCGAGGGGGGCCCCAGCGACGCCCCGAGAGGTCCGCGCGGGCGGCCAAAAAGGCATGCTTGCGCCGCGCTTCCCAGGCAGTGCTTGCGCTGAGGAGTTCTCGCTTACTCCAGACTTCGTAATAAAAGGGAGGGGGTCCCTTTTTTGGAAAAAAAAACCCCCCAAGACAAGCCTGTCAGACCCCCCCCCCGTGGAGAACCCTCCAAAACTCGTCCCCAACCCCCCAGGCCCTCCAGGATAGCCTGGAAGAGACCCCCCCCGAAATGAGACCCCCCTCCCTTTATTACGAAATCTGGAGTAACCGCAAGCCCCGGATAATGAATCATCCACCCCCCCTTCCCAGCTGAGAGTTGATTGTCCCCGGCCAATGCAGAGTTCATCGGGGGAGAGGGGCGGCAAGGCCGAACTTTCTCATCGCGGGGGAAAGTTACGAATCCAAGTTGCTATCTTCGTATGCTGACTAGCAACATCATCAAACATCTAAACAAGGTTTCCGGTCTGCCAGCTGGCGCCAAGTCGTCGTGGCCTCGTGGGCACCCCGTGCGTTGGCTGGGGCTTCCTTCCGCTCGCTGCACGGCTGTGGGCGCCGCCTCGTGGGCGCCACACAGGCTGCACCGCATAGCCTACACCACACAGCCAGCACCGCAGAGCTTGCACCACCTAGCAAGCACCGCATGGCCTGCACCGCATAGCATGCACCGCACGGCTCACACCACATAGCCTGTACCACGTATCCTGCGCCACACAGCTTGCACCACACAGCTTGGATCCCAAAGCTTGCACCACGTAGCTGAAACCACGTAGCTTTCACCATTCAGCTCGCCCCACGTAGCTGACACATCGAGAGTGCAAGAAGTCAGTGCCTGGTGTTCACGCTGGCAAACATCTCCTACTTCCAGAAATGGATACCAGGGCACAGCGCACCTTGCCCCGCACCACTGTGGCCCGACACAGTGCACACGGCGAGGGGCCGCCCAATCGAGCATCGGGGCACCGCGCGTGGACAGGAAACGTCAAGGCTCGGATCGGAGCCACCAGGTAGCACCTCGGGGTCCCAAACACACAATGGCACCACCGAGAGGCGTCCCAACAACACCGCGCGGTGCACGGCCGCAGGGCAGGACTCCAGGGCACTGCACGCAGGGACACGCAGAAGCGTCGCGCGGCACCGCGTGGCCGAGTCTGGAGACCCTGTGTGCCCCAGGCGCTGACCTCCCTGGGGGTAGACTGGCTTTGCCTCCGCCCGAGGCCCTGGCCCCGTTTCGCTTCCGCGGGCTGGCGCAGACCCTCCGCCAGCCTCCGCCAGCTTCCGCCAGCTTCCGCAGAGGTCGAGGTTCGGGAGCGGCCAAGAGGGGGGTGTCCAAGAGGGGGAGGGTGCAAATCATGAGCGGCGGCATGTGCGCGGCCCAGCGGGGGGGCCTGGGACGCAATGAAATAAGAAGAGGCGCCATGAAATCTGAAGAAAAATCATGACCCGCGCCCTGAAATCCACCCCCTACTAGTCATCACCCCCCTCTTTTCCCCCCCCCGAGAGGTGCTGGCCCCTCGCCCTCGCCGAAAGGGCCAACCCCAGGCGCTGCGCCAAAAACGGCTTCCGGCCACGGCACGGCCCCGGCGCGCGGCACCCGCACGGCACCCAGGGCCACCGCGCACGGAGGCACGGAGGCACCGCGCGCGGCCCCGCGCGAGACCGCTGCGGCGGCGCGGCGCGGCGCGGCACGACTGCGCGGCACCGCGCACGAGCACGGCACGGGACACCTGCGCTGCGGGCGGCATTGCCACGTGTTCGCCGAGTGGAGTCGATGTTGGCCTACGGGAGCGTCGTGGGACAAGAGCCAAACCTAAGAGCCTGGAGCAATTCACATCCAGGCGGGCCGCTGGGAAGTGGTGGCGGGCGCTGCAGGGAGACGGCGGCCAAACAGGTTGCCTGTTTGGCCTGCGGAACCACGGGGCGGCAGACTCCGCACTCACCGCTTCTTCCAGAGGTCACCAAAGTCGTTCATCACACTGCTGAAATCGTCCGATGTACTATTTACATGTTCGCGAGGGCGAGGACAGTCGTGCCCGTTCTTCCCGCCCCCCACGGCGAAGCCAGAGCATATTCCGAGCTTGGTCTTGAGGTTGAAGATGTTCCAACAAGGCTTCTGTTTGCAACAGGTGTTGGCCATGACTCTGTACTTGTACGCGCCGTTAGTGAGCTCATTGCACGTCTTGAAGCACCAGCCCAAATGACCCTCCTCATTATCGTCGCATGCGCCTGTAGGGTGGGGAAACTTACCATCCTCGGCGACCGTGTACCCATAGCCAGGGAGGGGAGCTTTATAGGTCACGCCAGATGGCTGGAAAGATGCGCAGCCCGAGCTTTCGTTGTTGGCCTTGCAACAAGCATTCGGCAGGATGCGGTACGAGTAGATGCCGTTTGTCAGCAGGCTGCACTTTTTGCCCGCCACCATGCGTTGTGCAGGGTGAAACATGGAAGAATGCCCAGGGCTATCTGGTAGGATTTGTATTTTAATTCGCCGGCCCAACGGGCCAAGAGCGTGCCAAGATCTCCAGCGACTGGATAACAGTTTTCTAGTTCGCGCGCGGGGGGCCGCCCATGGAGGTCCCCAGATGAAAAAAAAGAAAGAACAAAAAAAAAAAACGGCAAAGTCCCGGCAAGTCCCAGCAAGGTCCTGGCAAGGTCCAGGCAAGTCCCGGCAAGGTCCAGGCGAATCCCGGCAAGGTCCCAGCAAGGTCCTGGGCAGGTCCAGGGCGGGTCCCGGCCAGGTCCCAGCAGGCTCCCAAGAGCGTTCCAGGAGCACTTCAAGTGGCCTCCAAGAGAGCTCAACATGGCCCGAGACGGCCCAAGAGCGATCTGAGACGCCAAAGATGGCCTCCAGACAGCCCAAAGCGGCTGCAAGACGCCCCCAGAGGCCTCCAAGAGACCTCCCAAGAGGGCCCACAGAGGCAGAAATTAGCAGTTTTGCTTTAGTTTTTGACGGTTTGGGGCGTTCTCGCCTGGGGGGCTTCCCGGCGCTCCAAGACGACCCAAGAGGCTTCCAGGATCGCCCCAAAACGGCCCAAGAGACCTCCAAGAGCGCTCGAAACGGTCCCAGAGGGCCTCAAGACAGCCCCAGAGGCCTCCAAGATGGCCGAAGAGGCTCCCAAGACGGCCCCAAGAGCGGGCTCAGCCAAGGGATCTTAACGGACATTTCGAGCTCCAGGCGCAGCGAGGTCCCCTGGAAGCCCGAAGAGGCCCACAAGAGACCCCCAAGAGACCCCCAAGAGGCCCCCGAGATGCCCCAAGAGACCCCCAAGAGGCCCCCGTGCCGCCCCAGGAGGTTCCAGACATACCGCCAAGAGGCCCAAAATGAGGCCTCCTATCGTCTCACCAACCCTTCCTCCTTTCTTCCCTCTCCTCCCTCTCCCACCTCTGCGCCAACGACCCTCAATCCTCGAACGAAAGCGCACCGCCAAGAGGCCCCCGAGAGGCCTCCCAGAAGACCCCAAGCGACTCTCAAAGAGGCGCCTTGTCCATGACCAGTTTCGCCCCAACTTGACAAATCCAGAGACCTCCTCCTCATCCACATCCCCCCTCTTTCTCCTCCTCGTCCTCCGCCTTCACCTGTCCGCTCGCCACGAACACGCAAACATAAAGCACCAGTGATGCAAGATGGGCCAGCGGAATGAGCGAAGCGGTTATATAAGGGACACACACGCAGCTTTCTGAGAGCCTTTAAGACCCCACTTTCTCCCACCCCCGCTACATCCCGATTTGCCCCCCACGCAACCTCCGCGTTCCAAACAAAAAAGTGGGGCGGCGGTGTCTGCCCCCTCAGGGGCGTTCAATGAAATAAGGGACGCACACGCGCACGCACACACACACACACACACACACACACACACACACACACACACGCGCCCACATACACACACACACACACACACACCTAGCCACGGACCCCTCCACGCATCGCCCCCCCCCCCCTCCCGAGGCCGCGATCCTTGGTGGTAAACGATGGATGGGGCCGCGCGCTCGAGGCCGCGATCCCTCGCACAGCGCGCTGGATATGCATCCGGAGCCTTTTCAGGACGGTCCACGCGGGCAGCCAAGGACACCAAGACGGCCCAAGGTTGACTACCTACCAGACCACCCCAACCCAACCCGAAGACCCGAATTTGACCCGAATTTCGGGTTGGGGGGGGTACGGGTTCCATGTGTTTTTTCAACGTTCCCCGACCCCCCCCCACTGGAAATGGAGGGCAAATTGAAGCCTTCGGGTTGGGTAGGGGTGGTCTGGTAGGTGGTGAAAGGTGGCCCCAAGGCGGCCAATGTGGCCTCGAGACGGCCCAGGATGCCTTCAAGAGGGCAGGGCCACGAGGGGACCTTCGGCAGGGCCCGAAGAAGCCAGAATCGTTGGTTTCCCGTGGCCATGTGAAGGATGTTCGCATTCTCGCCTTTTCGGGCTCAAGACGGCCAAAGAA